TTTAGCAATCAATAAACTTGAGTGCCTCACACAAACTTATTTTACAGTCTCAGCACCTTCCCCTGGACCTGAAGCTCTCAATGGGGTCTGACCTACCCCAGCTATTTTGGGATGACCAAAGTTTCTTCTGGGAGATTCCTGGCTAATGGTAACAGAATTGAAATGACCTATTGTCTTTCCAATGCCTCCTGTTGGGTAAGTAGCTTAAATTTGCCATGGGGGAGGGGGAGAAGACTACAGTGTATTAATTAGTGTTATTTCAGCTGTGAGTAAGAGCAGTCAACTGCCATTAGCTCAAGAGGAGAAAAAAGTCTTGTTGGAAATGGGGGCCAAAGGGGCAGCCCCAGGGCCTTTGCATGAGTGGCAGCTACTGGCCACCCTTCCTGCCCACAGCTCGATCTATCAGTCCTTGCATTCAAGTTGCTAGGTGCCAGGAGCAGGGTTCCAGCTGGCCCTGTTAGCCTTGAGGTCTCCATTAGAAGCTTAGCCTTGAGGTCTCCATTAGAAGCTTAGCCTTGAGGTCTCCATTAGAAGCGCCGGCCTTACCCTGTTCCCTGATAGTCACATCATCCAGCTGTCCTCTAAGGAAAACTAGCTCAGACCTTGGATGCTTGGCTGAGAGGCCCAGATGTGAGCCTCTTCCCAGCAGCTATAATTCCTCTAATGGCCCAGGCGCTGCTGTATGCTATTTAAAGGAAGTGGGGCTCCTTTCAGGTGACAGTTGCAGAGGACTTTGGTCCATCATGGTGGGGAAGCTGCAGTGGAGGGACTCAGGTCATGGTGGGAAAGCCATGGAGAAGGGGCTCCGATCACAGTGGCATGAGTATGTAGCAGAAGCTGGTTACTTCACAGAAGACCCGGAAAGCAGAGAACATGACCAGAAACACAGGTCTTGTATCACCTTTAATGATCCACTTCTGCCAGCTTAGCCCCCCTCCTAGAGGCCCCATAGCCTTGAAGAACAGCACCTCAATCTGGGGAACAAGACTGTAAAACTTGAGCCTGTGGAGGCCAACTCAGAATCAGACCTGCCGGGATTCTGGCCTGTATCAATCCCATGCTACAGAGGCCATCTATTCTGGACTGATGCCTTTGGGGCTGCAATCAGAACCAGCCAGGTCCATCCTTGAGTGGGGGAGTGTGGATCGGGAAACTCCTAGCTACAGAGACATCTTGTCATCTCAGGAGGGCTCTCAGTTCATACTGGAGTCTGCGGTTTATTCAAGCTTCCTCTTAAATAGCTTTCCAACAGTGGGAGTGATAGCAGACGACATCTATTATCATTTATAAAGCTGATATCAAGTATTTCCTTTAATCCGAGAGACACCCCTAAAACTGCACATCCTCACCAGCCTCTCATCAGTCCCAAGGCATGTATACAAGCCCTCAGACATTCCACAAGGGCCTCAACCTTTGGGCACCAGGCAGGTTTCACTAGCTCTCAGAATAGGTGTGGGTCCACCCAGGGCCTAGGTCTATTGTTATATAAGCTAGGAGCCATTCTCCACCTTGGCCAGGCTATCCAGAGGTAACCAGCCAGCATCTAAAAGACAATGGGAGCTTCGAGCTCCTGGATTGAGCTGAGATTTGCACCCAAAATATCATATTTTTGGGCCCTGACACAGACCCTAACAGTGCCAACCACACTCCTTCCAGCAGAGTCCTTCCAACTCCTCCCCCCTTGGCTTGACCCTGAATACCCTGGAAGTAATCCGTTGCTTCTCTTGCCTGCCTCGGGCCTTTGTGAGTTCCTTGCTCCTGCCAGCCCTCCACACTTGGCTTCGACCCTCATTTCTCTCTGCTGTAGACCACAGACCACCATAGCAAATACATTGGGTTTTGTACACTGCCAGTCCCTGTGACATCACAGTGGGACCCTCTGACAGGTGTGGACTGCAAACAGAGTGGACAGTGTGTTTCTGGAGGAGGCCATAGACCAGTCTGTAGCTTCACAGTGGCTTCTTTGTAAAATGACAATGACACATCTGCCTCAGAATAAGGTTCCACAGAGGGCCTCCCCAGGTTTTGTGCTTGACTTTAACCTCAGTTTCTTGTGTAGATCCTGTTGTACAGATGGGGAAACTGAGGCACAGAGCACTCAGGAAATGATATCAGGTGCTCAGACTTAGACCCTGGCAAAGCCTCAGGAACTTCATCTTAACCATACGTGTGTGTGTTGGAGGTAGGTGGGCTAATTGCATGGATGCTTAGCTCTCCTGGGAAGGGTCAGGGTCTCCAAATCTGGGGAGGTGCTGCTACTAAAGCTAGACTCAGCATGACTTCTCTCCACTGCTTGGCGAGACTCTGATTTTGTTGTGGCTGTCTAGCCTAGCCCCTTGAGGCTCAGAGGTAAACTGTGTCTCTATAATCCTATTCTCTTTCCCTGAGTTTGGATTTAAGTCATGTGACCAGTTGTAGTCAATGACCAGTGGAGGAGCTGCTGCTGGCCCAACAGTCAGGCACCTCTTGCACTGTCCCCTTGTCACACGTGGATGAGACCTGCCCAAGTGATTTTGTCCTCTCTGCCCAGGCTGAGCCTGGGGGGTGGGGGATTTCACAGAGAAAACACACACACACACACACACACACACACACACACACACACACACACAGGCCTTACTTCTGAGATTCAGTGGACCACGCTGGGAGGCCTGGTTCAGACTGCCCTCCAAGGTACAGAGAAGACCTAGGTGCTTCATGAGAGGTGATGACCAGAAACTGGGAGGCAGCTGTGTAGTAGGTGGTGGAGTGACTGTATGTGGAGCCCATATTGGGCACTGAACAACACATGGACATATCTAGCAGATGACACTGGGCCACTAAAGCTACTTCTTGAGGGGCCGGGGAGAGGCAGCGGGAAGCAGGAAGCCAGAATGGACAACATCACCCTTCTTCGATTTCAATGATGAAAGTTGTCCTTAAAAGGAAGGTCAGCCCTTCAGGGAACACAAGCCTTGTTCCGTCAAATTCTAAGGTGTCAGTTCTTCCCCTGGACTGACTAGTAGTCCCTGGAAAGAGGTCAGCCACCTGCCAGAACACGGAAACCTGCATCTGTCCCTATCTCATCCTGCCTCTGACCCACCTAAGGGTCAACTGCTTCCTCAGTATGACTGTGATCTCCACCTAAGGCCTTCCTGCTTCAGCTCTGGGGCCTCCTGTGCTCAGAGGCCAGGCCTGCCCAGCCCTATGAACTCTTGACTAGTATCCTGGAATCCCTCTTTCCTCCCTGGCTCCCTCCACATGCCCCACCCATAATGTCCTCCCCATCTGCTTCTGTTCCTGGTGAGTGTCTCTGGCTCTCTCCCTGCCCTGCAGCTGTACACGTGGCAGCATGTGGCTCACACTGAGGGGCCTGTGGAACTGGTCAGGAGAAGCACACTCAGCAGTCACTCATCCAACAGGCATATGCTCTTCAACCAGAACAGAGTCCTCCCCTCCCCACCACTATTGTGTGGACACAAAGGGAGCAAAGCCAAGGCTCACACAAACAGAAGAACTAGCCCAGACCCTATGAAAGGAAACACTGAGGTGATGGGCTTTCACAGAGTAGACCTAAAGGGGAAGTAGCCCCCTCAGAGGCCCCAGTCTGGCTCCAGAGCCCATGGGAGCTGGGACCTGTGCTCCCAACTTCTTGGAAGCTACTCACACATGCTTTGTATTTTCTGGAAAAATAAGCCCTTACTTCATGACCCCACCACCACCACCACATTGTGTGCACTCCTAAGTTCTGAAGAGGGCTTCTGCTGCCATTCCCATGTGTACCTTGAGCCAAAGTCCTCAGTATGGCAAAAAGATTTGGGATCAGATGTTAGAAAGACAATGTGAGGTCCAAAAAGGCTAAACAAGTTGGCCAGCATCCTCCATCCCTCCAGTCAAACAAAAGACTGTCCTGTGTAAAGCCAGGACAGACAGACAGACAGACAGACAGACAGACAGACAGACAGACAGACAGACAGACAGACAGACAGACAGACAGACAGACAGACAGACAGACAGACAGACAGACAGACAGACAGACAGACAGACAGACAGACAGACAGACAGACAGACAGACAGAGAGAAAGCCTCTTAGACAAAAGTGTTTTGGAGTTGGGGAGTCTGGTGGGCAGGGGCTTTGTCTGGGTTGGGCACCTGCCTGTTTCTGTTATTTTTCTAAACTTCCCACCTTCTTCAAGTGCCGAGGGAACTTGCTCTCCTCATGGCATTTGGCATTCTCCTGATTTCTGGGGCTCACATCCACCATGGACCACAGAGATCCCTCTGGTGGGGATCTTTCTGCATTACCTAGCCCTGTGAGCTGTCTCCTAAAGGTCCCAGCACCAAGGTCAACCCCAGGCCAAGCTTCACATGTGGTACATATCCTATCCAATCCTGTCCTATTCTCTGGTTCTTTCTTTCTTTCTTTCTCTGTCTGTCTGTCTGTCTCTTTCTCTGTCTGTCTGTCTGTCTCTTTTTATTTTACTTCGTTGACACAGTGTCTATGTAGCCCTGGCTAGCCTGGAACTTTCTATATAGACCAGGCTGACTTCCAACCACAGATATCCCCCTGCCTCTGCCAAGTGCTGGGGTCAAAGGCATGCATCACCATGCCCAGATCTCTCTGCTTTTACAAACACAGAACTCTCCACAGCCCTGGCTTAGACAGTCTCCAAGTTTTGGAGCTCCTCTCCTAGCCCCACCATGTCTCCCAAGTTAGGAAAGCTCTTGTCATCAAGATCTAGGGGCTCCTGGGACAATGCCACTGAGTTAGGAATACGGAGCACAAGCACTGTTGGAGACAATCTCATGGCCACTTCCCAACCAAGGCTGGGAGGAAGTGAGTATGGGTATTAGGAAGTGAGTATGGGAGGGTGAGGTGGGGTGCTGGTTTAGCATTGCCTGGAAATATCTGTGGTTTTGGCTTCAGAGGGAAAATTCTGCAGGTGCCTGGCACAAAGTTTTCAGAGCTTCAGTTAGCTGACCACAAATCCTGCCAACATACAAGACAGCAGATCCAGGCCTTCTTTGTGTCAAGAGTATATTAAACAAGCAAGAGCTTAGCCAGAGCACACTGTGAGGTCAGCTCTTTGCAGATCACTGAGAAGCATACAGGTATAATGGGAAGCCTCCCTTCTGAGTCTTCATGGGCCCAAAGGACACAGAGCACACTCTGCCACTGAGTGGACTTGGGTCCCAAGCAGGTGCAGATGGTATATTCTTTGCAGTATCCATCTTCTATGAGGTGCACAAGAGCCACCAACAGTGATGGTTACACAGAGCAGGGCACAAACTTGTAAACTTCCACCTGCAGCAGCAGACAAGGAGAGGGCAGGCTGGGAGTCAGTTTAACAGTATAGGCAGGGGACTGTGCTAGTCAATATGGCTGCCCCCAACAGAATATCCTCGATGAGTTTTTCTAGCTGTTTTCTTTATAAGCTCGAGACAGAGGCGCAGGACTCCAAGGTCCCTCACACAAGTGAGGTATTGTGTTGGTATATGGTAAATATTGTCTATATGACAGAATCTAGAATCACCTAAGACAAGTGTCTGGGAATGCCTATGAAGTTTCTAGACTATGCCAGTTAAGATGGGACGATGCCCCTTACCTGTAGATGGCACCATTCCATGGTTTAGGGCCAGGACTGAATATAAAGGAGAATGAAAGATGAGCATCAGGCTCCATCCCTCTGCTTCCTCACTGCAGATGTGATGTGACCAGCTGCCTCACACCCTGGCTGTCATGTCATCCATGCCATGATAGACTGTACCCTCAACTTCCTTGAGTTGCTTCTGTCACCCTAACAAGACAGTAGCTAATACAATTGGTGTGGCACTTTGGAGTTCCTGTAGTTTCTGGATGGTATCTAAGGAAATAACCAGTATGCTGCTTCAGGAAACCACACTGCACATGATCAACAGATGTTGTCCAAGAAGGACATGGCACCTGCCAGGCAACATGCCATCTAGTCCTGAGGCCATCTGTAAGGTAAACCATTGCCACCTCCACCTTGCAGGCAGTGAAGTTGAGGCTCAGAGATGTGGGGATTTAACGGGATCCCAGCTGACTCCCAGGGATCCCACTAACTCCAGGATTCTGAATGTGTGAACGACTGGCTAAAGCCAATTTCTTTGCAGGCAGAGAACATGTGAAGCACTTAGCAAGGCTTTGTTTCTGTGGACCCCTGTATCTGCCCCCGGCAGGGCCAGAGTAGCAGCCTTCCAAGGCAGGAGAAGGGCATAGGGCAAAATTTACCAGGCTGAATTGCCAAGAGAATCCAGGATTTTTATTCACACTGGCCAAGCAGGCAAGGACAGCTGGGCTGAGGGTGGTTTTTTAGAACCAGTCTTCACAGCACGTGGCAGGCCTTGCCCCTGTCACCCTGCCATGGTTCCCTTGGCTGTAAGCACCAGAGATGCCCGCCCAGGGCCAGCCCTGCCCTGGGTCTGCAGAAGCACCAATGGACGGAGGCCACCTTCCCCTGAAGCTTGTGCAGCCTGCAGTGAAAGAGGGGAAGGTTAGAGGGCCACCAGGCCAAACACCCTGGGAAAGGCACTGGGGTCTCAGTGTCCCTGCTTCTCCATGACGTTCCCCAGGGCCTGTCTTGGCAGCATGGCTCAGAGAGGGCCCCCAAATAACCTGAATGTCACTGGCTTCAGTCCCTAGACCTGCTTTGGGATGAAACCTGCCATCTCTGTCCTGCCTGGCTCCCCATGATGTCTGCAAAGGCAACACAGGCAGGTGAAGCTCTGAATGGGAGCCACCTCCTGGGTGTCCTTAGCACCTTCATAAGCCCTGTGTGACACTGGGCTTTTGAGGGGCCAGGAGGGTCAGAGAGCACCTAGTGTATGGTCTGACCATGGCTAAAGTTCTGGGGAATGAGGAAAGTAGGGTGGGAGGAATCCTCAAAGGTCAGGGAGGATAATGGGCTCCAATTCACTCCCAGGCGCCCTTTCATCCCAGGTGCCTCCAAATTCCTGAGTCTCCTCCCAGCCAAGAGTATACCTAGGGTTTGCTTTAATGCTGGGCCCCAGGCAAGAAGGCAGAGGATGGGAAAGGAACATCATCCCTACCTCCAGAACCTGTCACCACAGCAGCAGTAAAGAATGGCCCTCAGTGCCTAACCACCCAGTCTAGGGGAGCACCCAGTACATGCTCAAGTCTTTGTACCCACTTGAGCACACCCCAACCCCTGTCCAGGCTACTGGGCGGTCACCAGGGGAGGGACAGGACCTAGGTCTGATTAGTCTAGGCTTTCCTCAGGCCTGGGACCAAGTGAGTATTCAGCATTTGATGAATGTATACCTAAACAGTGGCTAGAAAAGAGGACAGTGAAAGGGGCAGGAAGGGCAGAGATGGGGGTAGGCTCAGGGTGAAGAGAAAAACCTGAGGATGCAGGAAGAATGCTACACTTCTGGGGGAATTCCAGAAGTTTAGGAAGTCCCAGAATGCCAGGACTATTTTAGAGAGCCCAGTTTCTCAAGCATGGTCCATAGACCAGTGGCATCAGCATTACTGAGGAAATTGCTAGAAATGTAGAATCCTGGGAATACCCCGAAATGCTAAGCCAGAATCTACCATACAAGGAAGTCCCCAGGGATGAACATCACGGTGGTGTGTGAGGAGAGCTGCTCTAGAAAGTTCTGGAATACTTAAGACCAAAGTCACTGAAAATGAAGCTGGGGTGGGTAGAGTGGAGAGGGTGTGGTGACAGACTACAAGTGATGATAATAAGCAATGAAGATCGGCAGATCCAACCCTGGGGAACCTACAGGACTTGCCCTAGCCACCAGCCCTCCCCCAAGCTGCCCAGCTATGAAATTGGCCAGGCAAGCTCAGTCCTCCGCCTTGATCAGGTGACCGCTGAAGGTGATGTAGGTGTCCACATCATCACTGTAGATGGCGTTCTCCCGCTCACGCTTGAAGAGCCGCACCCACACGTGGTCGCCGGGCTCCAGTGGCAACATGACACTCTGGCTCTGCATGATGCTGCGCTCACTGGGCTGTGCGTACAGGATCACAGCCGCCTGCTCATTGTGGACGATATGCACATAGGTCTCCTTGTAATTCCAGCTGTGCACGTTGAGGCTGAAGAAGTAGAGGCCACGCAGGGGGGCCATGAAGCGGCCAGTGGTCATGTCAAAGTGGCCGTCGGTGTTCACGAAGACCCTGTCGAACAGCAGTGGGAGGAAGTCTTCACTGCTGTGCAAGCCTGTCTTGCGACCCACAGAGAAGGCCGAGTAGTGCATCTGGCATGAGCTGCCAGGGTTGCCAGCCTGTCCTTTGTCACCTTTGACACCCTGAGAGCCACGGTCCCCTCGGGTACCATCCTTGCCTGGCTTCCCTGGTGTTCCTAGAGGACCCCTGTCCCCTTTGTCACCTGTGGGGACATGAAGGGGAGAAGTTAGGACAAGCACCCTAGCCTATGCTAAGCCCTCATTTTTGGAAGCCGTTACTTTTGTCTGGGTCCAGAAAAGGAGCTGGTGTTTATTGATCACCTACTGCACGCTGGTCATTTACCACCCCAAACACCCCTCTGCAGAAGTGAAACTGACCGAGGCCATTTCCAAGACTCAGGCTGTGTCCTGCCCACCTCAGCCTGGGTCTCCTTCCTGGCAAGGAGGGCATGGCAGACCTCCAGGAGTCTGCCCTGATGAGACCAGCAGGCAGGTAGGGCAAGGTAAGACACACTTTGAACCTCTTGTTAGAGAGGGATTTGGGGGGTCTTGGCCTGGGAACTTGGGTGTCTAGGGTGTATCTTAAAACGGCAATGAGGTGCACATGAGTCCTCACTTGGCAGGGAGAGGGCAAGACATCCACTCAGCATAACCCCAGCCCATTTCCACCCTCCCTGGCACTTACTTTTCCAACCCTGGCTCCGGGCTGAATCTGAGCATAGACCAGACCACCCCCCCCCACATACACACAACCCCAAAACACACCTAGTATGTACTGAAGAGACCTGACTCTGCATATTTCCCTGGTGAGGCCCAGGTGGGTACTTCCTCAGGTCTTCTGGGCCATAGTGATGGTGAAGTCAGTGGAGGGTACAGAGAGAAAGGAAGGCATAGGACCTTGAAGGCAGACCAAAGGAAAGTGGAGTAGGGGTGTCCATGGCTGTGGGCTGACTCCACAAATGTTACCATCCAACAAAAGCACCTCACTGAGTACAGAGGCTGTGAGCGCCTGTTCTACCAAGGCCAAGCTGGCTGTGAGGAGGGGCTGCTTTCCCTCTACATGTAAGCTGGCAAGAGGTCTAGAAAGAGTCCAGCCTGACCCACAAAGCTTAATACAGGGCTCCAGATGCTACCCGGGCAGCCTAGGAAGAGTCAGGTAGCAACTTCTGACAGCCTGTCCAAGGGCCACACAGGGCTTAAGATAGACAGTCACAGCAAGATGTCACCAGGCCTGGGCCCCTCCACTACCAGAGGCCTAAAGTTGCACTGAGTGAAGCCATGAGGCAGGGAGACCAGGCAAATAGAATGTACGGGAGTCTTGGGTGCAAGCAGACTATTGGAGGAGAGTGCCTTGCTCTGTCCATGACATCGAAGTGACCCCAGGAGAGGCCCTACGGGATACTATGTTTCTCTGTCTACACTGTGGGAGGAAGGACTCAGTCATCTCCTCATGTTGGTGGAGGGGGCACGGTGAGCAAAGGTGGATCTCAGTGGTATGGCCAGGGCAGTCATGGGTCCCATCGCTGTGGTGGTACTAATTCCCTTCTATCTGAGGCTATATTTCAGAGAGCTGCCACCCCCACCTCGGCCATAGAGCTCCCCTGGGACTTTGCACTTCCACCTCTGTCCCTGCCATGTGCTCCACATGACACCTGTGGAGGCCAGGTCCTCTTTATGCTCAGCATTCCCTGATCCTGAGGAGAGAAACCTACATCCTGGTGGTATCTGGTGACCGTGTGGGACCACATCTTCTCCCTGTGCCTTTTACAGCCCCGCTGAGAAGCGCTTACCCTGTGACCCGAGGCTTACACTTCACCTTGCTAGGAGCCCTGTGTGCCTGCCGCGTCCCACACTTCACCCCAGCACCCTCTGCCCACATTTTGGAGCCCAGGGCCTTTCCCACCACCTGCTGCAGTAGCTTGGGGAATCTGTTCATTGCACAGCACCTGCCCACTGCTGTTCCTTCACTCTGAACTCAGAGCAGTCCTTGCACATTCTAGGTGCTACGCAGCTGTGGTCCAAGGCAGGAAGGGCTAGCAAGGCCTGCCCTGCTTTCTTCTGTCCCTCCCTCCCTAACCCATACCAATTCTCTCTGCATGAGAACTCACCCTTTAGGATGGTGATGTTGATGTAGGGCCTGACCTCAGGCAGGACATAGGGGAAGGAGGGGGAAGCAGGAGCATGAACAGTGTCAGCAGGGGACAGTGGTTCCTCAGGGTCACAGCATCGCTGACAGCCTTTGGTGAGATGGGAGGCCACAGATTCCCCAAAAGTGGCCTCCTCTGTGGGGACTCCAAACACAAGAGGAAACAGAAGTACTACCCAGAGGGAGCCCAGGCTGTCTGTCCTCATGATGACCTGGAAGAAGAGACACATATGACTCAGCATATCTGGCATGTCAATGCCCAGGGATAACACTATCTCCTGGAGCCAGGGCAGAGCCGGTGTTACTAGGGCGAGCAGGTGACCCCCTGTAATAGGCAAGTCTGGGGCCACCTGGGAAGCAAGTCTGAGGGCACTAGACTGGCCACTGAGCCTCCTGGCATCTGTCTATTGTGGCTGCTGCCACATGGCCTGGGAAGAATGAAGTCCCTATGGACACCCTCGGAGAGCACACACCAGGCACCCAGGTCTTTACTGGGTCACCAAAGAAGATGCCAGGTGTTCACATGGCTAACCAAGGAGATGGAGAATGTCTGTTTGGCCCCTTCATCTCTGAAGAGCATGGCTCCCACCACCCCCTTGCAGGCACTATAGGCAATGGCAGGAGCTTGGGTCCTTGAGGATCAAGGCATTGAATCCTGCAGGCCTCTTCTGTGCAGAAGCAGGAGGTCCCCTCTTGAAGAACAAGTCAGAAAACAGGATGTCCCCTTTGGAACAACACAAGGTTGAGGATTTGCAGCTTAGCAGAGCTCACCCTTCTGGTATCTTTTTACCCATCTTTACCCAGGAGCCCCACAGAGAAAGCCAAGGGTTCAGTCATTGGAAGATGGCTGCATCAATCATGACAGGCCTACCAATCAGCCACTAAAGTGGTAAATTGAAATTCATTGAGGAGAACCAAAAGCCCTGGAAATTCAGAGGCATCACAATTGGTGAGGTTTCATCTTGGGCCTTGATCATGAAGGGTCCCGAGTTTCCAAAGCGGGGCAGGAAGTAGGCTGGACACTAGAGAGGAGCCTAGATGGTGGGCAGGAAGCCCGAAGCAGGCCTTTGAGGTGGTAACAGGCTCAAGGACTGGCGCCACCCGATTGTCACAGATCAGAAACTGCTATTGAAACCAGACTGGTTTTTACACCTCTGGCGTCACTTTGTTTATTTCCTTTTTGTTCCTCTTTAACATTTAGTACAATTCAAAAATATTTTTCTGTGGTTAATACAGGCTGAGAAGGTAAAATTATTCTTCTAGAAAGGCTATGAAGAGGGACAGAGGCTCTTGGGTCTTCTCCCCAGTGGCCAGGGTGACGTCAAGAAGCATCTCCAGAGACACCCCGGTTCTGAAATGATTCTACCCACATTGCTGGATCTTGCTGGTTCTGCTCCACCAGACAGGAAAACCTCTCAGAGACCAACTCCAGGTTGCAGCAAACCCCCAACCCTTTATTCCAGACAGAGATGTGTCTCACCCTGTGGGGGAAATCTGAATAACACAAACGAGGTGACCTAGGCTTGTAGCTTAACACTTCTGGTCTTCGTGCTCCCTCATTCACACAAAATGGCAACATGTCTTCCTTGCCAGGTTATATGGATGATTTACATGAGGGAGGCTGCCTAGCTTGTCATATACTTCAAAGAGTTCATTTCTTCCTCTGCCTGGTATAGACCTCATCCTGGTGTCTATGGTTTACAAGGCACAGAACAACTTCTGACAGGTCAACATCGTTTGGAGACATTTCTGTTTCCTATTGGTCTGGCCCCTGGGGAGACTCAGAAACACAGAACAGGGCGAGGTGGGGATGGGGGGTTAGCGGCAGGAAGCAGGAAGCAGGAAGCAGGGCCATCTCCCTGGAAGCCACACTAAGCAGCCCTAACCGCAGCTAGTATCCCTGGCTGGCTCCTAGGAGGGGGCCAGGCAAGGATTTAAGTGTGGGGAATCACACCAACCGTAGAGGGTCTTGAGGGTCCCCACCACCTCTGCTAAAAAGCCAGAGCCTCTTAGAGGTGGCTGGGCTACCATTGTCATCATCCAGGTTGGCAGGGGTGGGCTAAGTGCCTAGGGGAGGGGGAGTCCTGCAGGAGCATGTAAAAAGCCAGGAGCAGTGCAGAGCAGAAGAGAAGAGGAGAGTCTCCAAGGAGCTGGCTAAGCCAGAGGGAAAGAGGTATGTGCTTGCCAGAAAGAGGGGAACAGAGGAATCTCAGACTGACCCCAGCCCCCTGCCCAGACAGAAGCAGAGAGGCCTCCAGCCACTCACCCTGGTCCTGCAGCCTCAAGCTCAACTCACAGACCCCGGGAGGCCTCTGGCTCCTTGGCCCATGTCTGTGATAATAGCTTGTTGCTGGCCCGACCCCCAAGGCCTACGACTTAGCTGGGAGGGCGGAGGGATGGAGGGAGGGAGGAGAGAGCACGCTGAGCTGGCTTCCCAATCCCCACCTCCTGCTCCCGCCCCTCCGGCCTGGGGCTCTTCCTCAGAGATACTGGGAGACGTTTGGATCTTTAAATTCCTCGGGCGTCTGTAGCTCAGCCCAGCCATGGAACCCTGTTTGAGTCAAAGGCCCTGAGAGTTTAGACAGACAGACGAGGGTCAAGGGCCTAGAATACTTGGCATGGAAATCGAAGGCAGTGAGAGAGGGGGCAGGGCTCTCCTTTACTCAGGAAAAGGGAGGCAGCGCTGGGAACTCCGGCAGCCAGGCAGCCCGGGTCTAGTTGGAGTCCAAGAGCCATCTGCCAAGAGCTACAGAGACAGGGAGGGTGGCATGAGGGCACTGGTCCCCATCGTCCATAGGCATAAACTCTGGCCACCCTAACACCCAGTAGCCAGCAACATGGCTAAGCACTGCCTCTCCTACCCTAGGTGGTCTAAGATCCTGCCCCCAGCATATAAGTGCTGGACCAAGGATGACTTGTTCCCCCCTCCTCATCTGGAACCCTGCCTTTATTGATTCAACCTTTGGTCTCATAAAGCAAGCTCCCTCACAGAAGCAACCCCCAAGAAGTTCATGATGCCCTGGGTCCTGCTTCAGTTCCTCCTAGGCAGACTAGGGGATTTTAAGCAAGGGCCACAGACCTGGCTCCTAGCCCTGGCTTCCTGGGGCCAGAGACCCTGGGCAGTCGATGTCAAATGTTCTTCACCTTTGGCTACCTCTCCACTTTAGTTTTACTGAGCATCTACCTCTTGAGCCAGGCTTTACCTCTCTGAGAGACTTTGGGTCTCAAAAAGTATTTAGACCCAGATTTCTCCAGAGCCACTCTCCAGCCCAGGGAGAACAAGCAAGTTAGCAGTAGAGGGGCTTGGCAGTGACACTGTTCTCTAGCCCACCACTTATGGGACAGATTTAGGTCTGGGACTTCCTGGCTCCACTAGCAGCTAAAAGTACATAATCCCTCATACTTTGGATGGTTGACAGGGTTGCCTCTGGCCCAGGAATCCTGTGTGTTTAAGCAAACAATCCAACAGCATATCAGGTCTGGAAGGAGCCCCAGAGATGACCTAATCCCATCCCTTAATCAGGGACATTGTGACCCAGGATGATCAAGACTTTGGTACAAGGTCACATAGTAGAGTGGAGTCCAAGTTGGGAGGACACACCAGACTCTTCTAGTCTGGTGTGGCCGCTCCAAATGACTGGGAGCCCTTGGGTCCAGCCAGGACTACGGGGGGGGGGGGCAGAAGAAAGCAGACAGAGGGACAATGGCCATATAGGGACCACCAGCAGCTCACACTGGCATGGCCTCTGTGTGAGCATCATTCCTGGGGCACTGAGCCAGGCCTGCAAAGAGGCTGCTCACTGCAAGCTGCAGCCACCAGAGCAAAGGGCTGAGTCAGCAGCTCTGGGGGTGGGAACAGCACCAGGCAGTCTCAGTTCTCTGGTATAGAAAGCTGGGAAAAACATACGAAGGAAAAGATAGATGGAACAGGGGAAGCAGAAGAAATACATGATCTTGTTGAAGGCCGGCTATGTGCCTAGCACTGTGCACCCCATTATGCTCGGCACCCCACTTGCAGGGCCAGGCTGCTCACTCCACCTTAACAGTCAAGGAGGCTCCAAGCCACTGACCTCAGTCATGAGTACGTCCCAGGCAGGCCAGGTAGATTTGAGACAGAGCTCCAGTCCTGGAGTAGACAGACAGACTGGGATTATGACTCTATTGCGTGGCCTTCTAGCTGTGTGAAGTTGGGTGTTGGGTAAGTTTCCTTATTTCTCTGAGTATTTTGTTTGTTTTGTTTTTCAAGACAGGGCTTCACTTGTGTAGCCCAGGCTGGCCTCAAACTAACATTGTGTGTAGGACCAGACTGGTCTAGAAATCACAGAGATCCAACTGACTCTGCCTCCCGAGTGCTGGGATCAAAGGCGTGCGCCACCACCGCCTGGCACTTCTGTGAGTCTTAATGACCCTGGGCCAAACAGTCTTGACTCCAGGATTGGGTGAGTGTCTGGGAATAGACAGTCAAAGGGTGCTTCCTCCTGGCTATTTCGGTTAAACCCTGTAAGCTGAGGCGTGTACCAACTTTCCTCAGCATACCTGCCAGTGGGTACCTCCAGGGCCCATGATGCCCTCCGTACTCTTTCATAAGCCTCTATCAGCAAATGTGTACTCAGGCACAAGCAGCCTGAACCATGTCACCAAGGCCAGAGTCCCACAGTGTGAGTCTGTTTCTCTGCTCACTCCGGCCCTTTCTGACTTCCATTAGCCAGGACAATGACTTGCTGACGCCAGAAGTCAGCTGTGTAAATCCTGAATGGTAATTCACAGTTGGAGTTCAAGGTCACCGCCAAATTAAGGTCTGAACTTAGAGAGGAGGGCGCCACCTCCTGGAGAGAGCGTGCGGCCCGACAACCAGCCTGGCTGGAGAGCCCGGTTTATTCCTCCAAACCTCAGCACCCCAGAAAGTGGGCAGGGTTCCTCTGACATACAATCCCGTAAGGACAGCTCCAGATTGACTTTACGGAGTCCCCGTCTATTGAGTTATCCAGGACCAGCCAAAAGAGACAACTAGGGGCAGTCGAAGGGTTCAAGGTCTCCAGGGCCCACAACGCCTAAGCCTAGTTCGGAGAGGAGCCGAGCATATCCGAAAAGGGACGAACAAAGCCGCCCAGCCGAGCAAGGCCAAGCAAAGCTGAATCCTGGCCGAGTACGGCCGAGTAGAGCCGAACAGAGTCGATTCTTCCCGAGTCAAAACGAACAGACCGGGTGAGATCCGACAGCGGGCGAATCTGAGCAAAGAGGAAAATAGGGTACTCTAAGGTCTAGCGGCGTCCCCTGGCGGACGCAGAAAGCACTGGGCTAACCTGAGCGGGAGTCATCCGGTCACCTTACAGTCCTGTAAAATGGGGTTGTGGGGGTGCACTTCAGGAATAAAGAAAGTGAGTCTCCGCCCGGGCCCAGGGCAGTCTCACGGGCACTCTGAGCTAGGAAGTGAAGGATCTGGAGTTCCCTTGATTGTGTGTGGCCAAGAACACCCCTGTCGCTTACAACCCACATGTAAGTCCAGTTGCCTTTAAACCCATTTATTGCGGCCAGAGCCTACAGAGACCTCCCTTGTGGAGAGCTAGCAGAGAGCTCAGCGACAATCATAGCCTCACAGATGGAGAAACCAAGCCGGCTCCGGAAGTGTTGACCAAGGGCGGTGGGGCAGCAGTTCCCATGAGCAAATATTGACACATTTCCTGGCCATTAAAGCAGAAAGCCAGACTGAAAGAGGACATTCTGTCTCTTCTCTGCAAAGCTTCGAAACATCCTTACCCCACTCAAGGCCTCAGTTTCCCCACCTGCAACAAGATAATAGCAGAGGATGTGACCAGGATCCCAGTTATCTGAGCCCTATGGAGAATGAGGCACTCCCTGGAGCCGGTGAGAGAAAAGCTGTACACATGTACATATCCCCGAGTCACCCCCATGCTGCAGCACTCCGGAGTGCCTGCCCAAGGCTGCAGGATTTGGGGTGTTGGGCCTCTAGAAAGTAACCCTGTGTGGCCTGGGTATCTCCTCTGCTATATACACTTCCCAGTGGCATTGTGTGCAACCAGGAAGTTGGCACAGGTAATCTCAGAGCACCCCAACCCCAGCATCACTTTATTCATTTAGCACTGGGGAGGCTGAGGCAGAAGGATGGCCCTGGGTCAGAGCTGGGAAAGCAGTGTTCTTGCTCTTCTTCCTGGTTGAGGCACTGGGCAACAGCTGTAACATCCCAGACCTCACCAGAGGTCTTGCATGTCTGTCCTGTGGACACACTTCTGAAAATGCTTGTGCGGTACCTGTGGGAACCAGGCACTGTTCAAAGCTCTGCTTAACAACCCAAGCAACTCCCTAGCTTAGTGAGGAAGAAACTGAGGCAAGGAGAGGTTAATTTACTGGCTCCAGGTCAGTAGCTAGTGAGTGGATGAGCTGGGACTTAACCACAGACAGTCTGAGTCCAGTGTCTACACACTGACAGTCCTTCCTTGGCTCCTAGACAAACCATCTGACCTCTGGGCTGAGCCTTTAGCAGTGGACAGTGCCCACTTACCCCGTGTTGCTTGAAGGATGAGCTTGGTTTGACAGGGGGCCCAGGAGGGAAGAGGCCACTAACAACACCATATGCAAATGGGCCACAGCTGGGAGCTTCAGAAACAAAAGATTGTGGTTTTGGCAGGAGTAGTGGTGCATGCCTGTCATGCCAGAACTTGGGAGACTGAGGTAGGATTGCCATGAGGTCCAGGCCAGCCTTGAAGAAAAGAGAAGACAAGAGCTGAAGAGATGGCTTAGCTGGTAAAGGGTTCCCTTTTCAAGTGTTCGGACTGAGTTCAGATCCCTGGTACCTACATTAAAAAGCAGCTCATGGTCACATGTACCTGTAGCCTTAGCACTGGGTCCAGTGAGACCCTGTCTTAAAAGATAAGCAGGGAGAGACTGGGAAGACACCCAACATGGCCTTTGGCCTACACATGTGTGTGCATGCAAGTACACACACTCGTATGTGCACACACATGTACACTAGTTTATTGTGACTGAGTTCTGGAGTTCAGAAGACCAGGACCAAGGCATCAGCCTGGTAGCTCTTCTGGGGTCTATGGATCTATCCCAAGCCTCCGTCCGGCGTTGGGGAGTTTGGTGGCACTCTCAGTATCCTGGGCTTGGAGAAGTATTCCCCTGGACTTTGTAGGGGGGTGGGTTTTTTGTTTTTTGTTTTTGTTTTTCGAGACAGGGTTTCTCTGTGGCTTTGGAGGCTGTCCTGGAACTAGCTCTTGTAGACCAGGCTGGTCTCGAACTCACAGAGATCCACCTGCCTCTGCCTCCCGAGTGCTGGTATTAAAGGTGTGCGCTACCAATGCCCAGCAGTGGCTGGGTTTTTAAGGTAGGGCCTTACTATGTAGTACAAACTGGCTTTGAACTCAAGGTAATGCTCAGCCTCCCAAATGTTGGGGTAA